TAAACTTTTTAAATTTATTAAAATAAATAATTTTTAAAAGATTTATAGGTCGTGATTTGAAATACAACTTGGTTGTTGAATAAATTTTTAAAAAATTTATAGGTCTTACTTTGTTCCAATTTCAGATCATGAGTGGAGTCTCAAAAATACCATTTTCTTACCCAAGTTTATGTTCAATGGTTTTCTCTTTGAAAACTGCAACTCATGTAATAGATCGAACCTTAGATAGCTATAAGCATATTAATAAAACAATTTCTTTATTATAAAAAAATTATCTTACACTACAACTTGTTCGTATATATAATTTTTTTAAATTTATCTATTTTAATAAATTTTAAAAAGTAATTACACCATTTTGGTGCATAACCTTGCTTTATCTCTTATAAGGTCGTGATTAAATTTTCAAAGGAAATTCTTAATTTCTCAATTGAGTATGATCGTGTTTATTTTCTTGTAAGATTTCAACTTAAAAATTAATTAATTTCTATACATAGAGAATTAAAATAGATAATACAAGATTTCTATTAAGATATGTAGATTAAGAAGTTGTTTAATAACGAGATTAATTCTATATCAGATTTCAATTTAAAATTCATACGAATTATATTAGACAAGTAATACACTACAAAAAAACGCTTATTATCTACGTGGTAAAATTAGTAGGTAATGACAAAAATCCGTAGGTAATGTCACTTTATCTACGGATTTCTTTCACGTAGAAAATCAGTAGGTAATTACCTACGGATTATAATCCGTAGGTAATGCACTTACTTTAACAAAATATTTTTATTTATTACAACCAAGTACTTCGAGTTGGAGGTCGATACTCCAACCACTAAGCTTATTAGGTTATTTTGAAAATAATTTACAAATAAATTATATTTATATTTATCCGTGTAAATATATAAATATAAAATATATATAAATAAAAAATATATATAAATATAAAAAATATATATAAATATAAAAAATATATATAAATATAAAATATATATAAATATAAAATATATATAAATATAAAATATATATAAATATAAAATATATATAAATATAAAATATATATAAATATAAAATATATAAATATAAAATATATATAAATATAAAATATATTTATATTTTGATATATTTATATATTTATACATTTATATATTTGTAATTATATATTTATATATTTATATATTTATATATTTATATTTATATATTTATGTATTTATATATTTATGTATTTATATATTTATATATTTATATATTTATATATTTATCTATTTATGTATTTATGTATTTATGTATTTATATATGTATGTATTTATATATTTATGTATTTATATATTTATGTATTTATATATTTATGTATTTATATATTTATATATTTATATATTTATGTATTTATGTATTTATGTATTTATGTATTTATATATTTATGTATTTATATATTTATATATTTATATATTTATATATTTATATATTTAAATATTTATATATTTAAATATTTATATATTTATATATTTAAATATTTATATATTTAAATATTTAAATATTTATATATTATGTATTTATGTATTTATGTATTTATGTATTTATGTATTTATATATTTGTATATTTATATATTTGTATATTGTATATTTGTATATTTGTATATTTGTATATTTGTATATTTATATATTTATATATTTATATATTTATATATTTATATATTTATATATTTATATATTTATATATTTATATATTTATATATTTATATATTTATATATTTATATATTTATATATTTATATATTTATATATTTTATATTTTATATTTTATATTTTATATTTTATATTTATATATTTTATATTTATATATTTATATGTTTTATATTTATATATTTATATATTTACACGAATTAATATAAGTATAATTTAGTTGTAAATTATTATTAGAATATCCTAATAGTTTAGTGGTTGAAGTATCAATTTTCATTTTTAAGGTACTGGGTTCGATTCTTGCTAGTGATAATTTTTTTAGTTTAATATAATTTATCTACGGATAGTAATTCCGTAGGTAATTACCTACGGAATTACCCACGGATGATATTACCTACGGAAAATATCCGTAGGTAATGGATAATTACTCGCGGATAGAATTCCGTAGGTAATATCCGTAGGTAATGTACACTTTACCTACGGATAATAATTACGTAGGTAATTACCTACGGAATTATCCACGGATTACATTACCTACAGATAATATCCGTAGGTAATGGATAATTACCTACGGATAGAATTCCGTAGGTAATATCCGTAGGTAATGTACAATTTACCTACGGATTTTCATCCGTGGGTAATATCCGTAGGTAATGGATAATTACCTACGGATAGAATTCCGTAGGTAATATCCGTAGGTAATGTACAATTTACCTACGGATTTTCATCCGTGGGTAATATCCGTAGGTAATGTAAAATTTACCTACGGATTTTTATCCGTGGGTAATATCCGTAGGTAATGTAAAATTTACCTACGGATTTGTATCCGTAGGTAATAATCCGTAGGTAATGTAAAATTTACCTACGGATTTGTATCCGTAGGTAATAATCGACTTTTTTGTAATAGACTTATTTATATATATATATATATATATATATATATATATATATATATATAAATTTCAAGATTAAATCAAGTTTTAGAGGTACCTTTTGTTATTTGACAGTTCAGTGGAGTGTTGCTATCAGTCTGGGATATTTGAGGGTCACGACAGTGTCCTATGATCAGAAGATGAAGCTGGAACAGATTATGCAGGGAAATATATCACATAAAAGAGAATAATAGTTATTTTGGATAATAATTTTGAAACAGTATGTTGTATAAAACGTGTTAGGATCGAGCGCTTACCACTAGGCCAAAAGCTATAGCCATTAGTCAGAGCGCAACTCTTTTTACTTTAACAGCCCAAGCGCCACGATTCAATTGTGACTCGGCCCACCCGGCCTCTGCCACAGGACAATTGATGCTACCTGCAACAATCTCCCCCTCAGCAATTGTCCTACGAGGAATCCCACTTGGATTGTGACTTGGCCCATCTAGCCTACGCCACCAATTGTGACTTGGCCCACCTGGCCTGCGCCACGGGACAATTGTGCAACCTGCAACAATCTCCCCCTTAACTATTGCTCAACAGGAATCGAACTTGTGACCTTGGCTCTGATACCATTTGTTAGGAACAAGACAATAATAAAGGAAAGAATAAAGGAGAGAAAAATAAACGACACAAGAATTTTAACGTGGTTCGGCTAAAATATGTATGCCTACGTCCACGACTACACTAGGAAGTACTCTTAACAGGAACAATTTGGTCTTCAAAGACTTTTTCTTTCTTTCATTGTTTTTAAGTACGAGGAAAAAAAAAAGTAACGAATTGTGCTAATAAAAAATATATTTACAAATAAGGGTGGTAATGATGCAGAAAACAAGGGTTTATCAGCAACACATTTTTCTCTGATATTTTGTTTTTCTGTCGCATGTGTATCTGCACAATTGCATATTTACTGCATGGAATGGTACCTCTATGAGTTCCCTCAACAATTTGCAAACCTGAGATCATCATGGCGAGGCACAGAAGAGGACACAGTGATGAATAAAGCACACGAAACAAGAGAAATGAATCCATACATGCCTTTTTCTGACTTAGCCCTAAAAGCATGATGAAAACCAACACGGTAATAGTCATTGGAGTAAATGAGTCTTAATTATGGCCCTCCAACCCATACCAAAAGTTTGTTGAGCCAATAAATGAAAACAAACATAAGTAGATTTATTCTTCCATTAATGCTAGCAATAAAATGTCGGTCAAGCTTATTTTAGTCTATAGAGGAATCCCAACATTCATCATCAAACACAAAAAGTAGAGTCCTAACTATGAACAACTTGCTATTGTTAATTCAGAGGCAAAATACCTAACTTCACATTAACTAAACACGTAGACAAGTTTGTTTGATTTTCTTTTAAACTATCCTAAATCATACTGTATTAGAAATATTAATCACATTTCAAAATTATAACTTGACGGTATATTTGGAATTATCATATCAAACAAAGTTGAAACTTGTTTATATTTTAATTGATTAAAGGTGGGATTTTTTAAAAATATTTAAGTTTAAATATAATAATTTTACAACACAATCTGTAATATTGAAGAAAATTTATTGAAAAAACTATTTTTTTCCCATAAATATTGTTTTTGAAGTTTTTATCACACAAAATAAAAATAACAATGATATGATTTTATTCAAACAACTTTATTTTCTCAATAAAAACATTAATTTTATTGAGATGGAAAAAATAACTAATTAGAAAATAAATAAGGAATATATACATTTATGTTTTCGTTGAAAACTTATTTGATCAATCAATTTAACAAAATTTCTTAAAGAATACTAAAAGTGTACCCTCATTGAGTAGTGATATTTTGACAACTAGAAACCATACTAATCCTTTAAACAACTCACTTTTATTAATATAATAATCTATATAATAATTTAATAAAAATAAAAATAAAATAAAATTATTATTATAATATTAAAAGAGAGTTGTTTATAGAAGTTGTATGGATTTGGGTTCTCAAATATCATTTTCATTTTTTTTATTTAGAAAAAACATTAGCAACAGTAAACATTGTATTTGAAAGAACATGTTATGAACAATTTTTCGTTACACCGATTATGTATGTATATACATGGTACCAATGAATGATGGCATAGGAATACGGTTATGCATGAAATAAATGTGGAAAAGCGTGAGAGGTCTTTTATTTTGAAACGTAACGTTGGGGTTGCTTTCCCATGTGATAGTAAGTTGTGGGGTTTGGTTTCGTTGGTAGTTGAATGCATCAAATGTTTGAAAGGGAAAGTGAGATAGGTCTATAAATAATGTTACCCACCATGCTTCGAACCATAGAAACACTTGTTTCTGATCCTAGGTTAACACACTTGTCAAAACAACGTAGATTGTTCTTCCAACAAAGCATGGCTTCAAGGCCCGGAATCCTCACGGATTGGCCATGGAAACCTCTTGGAAGCTTTAAGGTTGCACACATTCCCCCTTGTGTTATTGCTTCTATTCTCTCTCTCTCTCTCTCTCTCTCTCTCTCCTATATATATATATATATATATATATATATATATATATATATATAAAACAATACATATAATACTTTTCATTCATGCACGTCTAAGCATATACCATGAACATGGTACATTGCTATGTAAGTATCATTGTTTCTATAAAAAATAATGTGTTGTGAAAAGGTTTTGTTATGGTTTTCCCTACGGAAATTCAGAATGTGGACAAGCATGCACACCTTTGGTTTAGTTTCAAATAATTTATCATTATAGTTCATTAAAGTTGAGTGTATATACGTAGTTGCTCTTATGTACTTTATAGAGTGACCAAGACAAACTCAGACATAGTACAGAGTAGGTTGTTGAAATGTTAACCAGAAATATGAACTTCAAAATATTACATGCATTTTGTAAAGGTAACAACTTGGCATATGATATTGTACTTCTCTGTAAAGATCTTTTTGGTGGTAATACATTCCTTGTTTTTTAAGGATTGATTTCTTTAGAGAAAAAAAAAAAAGGGTTTAGGGTAGGTTTGGAGAAATTTTTTACAAGTATCTTTTCAAGAAAAAGATAATGAAATTTGCTTTTTTTGTATGTTAAATAATTTTATATAAAAACTAAAAATTAGATTTTAGAAAAACTAATAGAAAATTATTTTCAGATAGTTCATGCTAATTTTATTATGTATAAAGAAAAATATTTTATTTATACTATTAATTAAGGTGCATTAATTATTATAAAGCATAATCAATGACCAATCAACATCACAGCTTCAATCACAGAGTTTGTTGTACCTATAAAACTATGAGTGCGTTTGGATATTATTTATAATAAAAACTTCTAAAATGTTTAATTCAATCTCAAAAAATCATAAAGTTTAATACAAACTCCATCCTGTAATCTATCTGAAGCATGCTTTTTTTTTTTTGTTTTTTTAATACTTAGCAACATAAAGTTTGAAAAATCATGAAAAACTTAAGATTTTTAGACATTTATGTAAAAAAAACAGCTACATAAGTACATATAATTGCATGTTAGATAACGACAGTTTGATTTTGCAGTATGTGGTACTAGCTCCATGGGTGGTTCACAGCACCTACTCTGTGATAGTGAAGGAGAAGAATGAAAAGGACGTATCAACCTTTCTGATATTACCATTTTTGCTATGGCGAATGCTTCATAACCAGATTTGGATCACTCTCTCTCGTTACAGAACAGCCAAGGGAAATGCTAGAATTGTGGATAAGGGACTTGAATTTGAACAAGTTGACAGAGAAAGAGAATGGTTAGTTTCATCCTCTATATATATATATATATAATTACATAACAGAACCATGATGTTTTATTTTAGATGAGTTAATGAAATAGTTGGACCTTATCCAAGCCCAAAACACAACCAAATATTTCAGATATTTTGTAGTCTCCCATAAAGGAATTTATCTTAGGATATGTTTGGATTACTTTTTTTAAGACCTTCAAACATACCTTTAGAATACTAAATTCAGTACGAGGATTGGGTTCTCTTGAAACTGATTTTCCAAGGACATTTGTAAGTAATATATATATATATATATATATATATATATATATATATATATATATATATATATATATATATATATATATATACTTCTAAGAAAAAAAATTAAATGATTTTTTTTATAAATTAAAATTAGTTTATGTATAAATAATTTTTTTTTTAATATAGCTTCTTAAAATTCTTACTTTTTTATTTATTTATTAATTTATAAAATAATTTATATGGTTTTTTTTTAAATTGTTTATTGAACGTTTGTTCAAATAGAGTCTAAATTGGGTTTGGATCATAAGCATAAAAAATAGCTTGCTTCTTGAACCTAGGTTTTCAGTTGGAAGCATTTATGGGAAATATTGAAGTCCTACTTCTTATTTTACCAAACTCTTCACCTTAGCATTCATTATTTTCCAACTTTTTCCTTCAGCATGGCCCTTCATTTTCCATTCAGATTCTAAAGTTCAATGCAATCACAAGTTGATGAGTCATAGTGATATTTAGTGAAATGCAAATTATGCGTTTGGGATATTCTACAGATAAACAGTAGCAGGATAGTGATTGATCTTTCTCTTAAAATGTTTTAGTTTTATTGGATGAAGGTGACATTCTTGAGTTTTTTTTTCCCTCATATATTCATGCTTAATTTCTCACACAATGAAAATATGTATTATTTGTTAGTCATTTATTGATTATTTTAATTATAGTATATTTTAAGCAAGTTTAATTTTATTAAAAACATACTTTTGAACAGAGAAATAGTCAAACATAGATTAATTATAGTAATCATTTCCTTTTATATCAAATTTATGTTTACAATATATTTTTTCAATTATTCATGTAGATTCATAAATTTTAAACAACATAAGAATTTTGTTACTAAAGAGTACGAGAGAGGTACGCATATCAGAACATCAAAAAACCAAATCGAAGGTCCTCAAGATACCATAGTGTGCTTGCCATAAATCAACAAATTTACCTTTTGAAGTTGGGGTTATATCTCTTGGTTAGAACCCTAACACTTTGATTGGGGAAGGGAAGTTAGAAAGGAAAGAGAATTAAGTGTGAGAGAAAGTGTCTTGTTTGAAGGAGAGAAAGGGAATGGGTATGGGAAACAAAACTCCTTTTCAAATCTTCTTTATGCTTAAAGGTAAAATTAGCCAAGAGTTGTTTTCAGTGACCTTATATTATCTTTTACTTTTCTTTTCCATTCATCATATCACCCTTCTTCAAAGATTGTTTTCACAGGAAGATGCTAAGGATATCTTTCCTTTGGTAAAACGTGTCCATGCAACACCTAAAATCATAGAAAAATACGTGCAGAAATTAATGAGAAAGCAACCAGAGATACTATTACATGATTTGACATTTGACAACTTAGGTTATTTTAGCATATATTTATGTGAATGTTCATTTTACTTTTGGCTTTGACCTTGCTTCAGGGATGACCAAATATTGTTCAATGGGTTACTATACTATTTGGCATGCTACACATTATCTGGTGCATCCAATCTTCCATTATGGAGAACAGATGGAGTGGTTATGGCATTTTTGCTTCATGCAGGACCAGTGGAGTTTCTTTATTACTGGTTACACAGAGCACTTCATCATCACTTTCTCTACTCTAGATACCACTCTCACCATCACTCTTCCATTGTCACAGAGCCTATAACTTGTGAGTTATTCATTTCATTAATTGCTTTTGCTTGCGAAATTCAATGCTGGCCAACAACCATTTCTGGTTTTCTTTGAGCCATTTATTGCCAAAGTCAGTGCTATATATGCTATCACAGAAACCAGACTATGTTGTGCACTCTATAATCTGAGGAGGACCACAAGCAAGAGTTTTGCAGGTGGAGATGTTTCAGTTCATAACAGATGTCAAATAGTTGTAGGTGTAAATGTTTCAATTTATAACAGACGTATATATAAACACCGAAATAACTAACACATATAATAATAATTTTAGTATGTCAAGTTAATGGAAAATAAAAAAATTGTTTAAAAATTATATGAAATATATTATTAAAAATTTCTTTTTAAATGAATTATTTTAAATATTTTATATCTATTACAAAAATCAATATAAATGTTAAAAATATAGAAAGTGAAGTAGCATTTGTCAGAATTTTATATTTTATTTTGACAATGATGCATATTTAGGATTGATTCTTTTCATATGACTTCTCTTTTTTCTTAATTATGGATAGTTTAGGTTGTTGTTAAGATATTTTATGTTAATATAGATTTTTAACTACTTCCAGACAGAATAATTTTGATTTTTTTTCACTTACAAGAATTATAATTTTTAGGCTATTACTTGAAAATATGTGAACAAATTATAAACTAATTTTGTTTCGTTTGTTGGATTCGAAGACACTTTTTGTTTACATTTTATTTGTTATTTTAAAGTTTCAAAATAATAATAATAATAATAATAATATTTTGAAATTATATCCTTATAAAGAAAGTGAAGAAAAAATTATAGGTAAAAAGTGTCAAATTAATAATAAAAAATAAAAAGATAAAAGAATAGTAATAAAGTTACCCACAATTTAATATAATAAAAAATAGTAATAAAATAATATTTAATGTGTATAATATAGCTTTAAACAGTAGATTAGAAGAAACAAATGAAGTTTCCTAGATAGGTTGCTATATACAATCCAAAAATGTCACCAACCACATAACTTTGAATAAAAAATATTTTATTCATTTTTTCCACGTTAGGGTTTAGGGTAGTGATGGACCACAATATGGGTCATCATGTGCCAATATTATATATTTCCATTGCATGTGCAAAGCAACACTTTCTCCATGGCCAGCTGTAATATTTTAATCATCTTGTAGTGAATTTGCTTGTTATGAGCCGGCAAATTAATTTCATGATTTGATTGATTCTTCGTCTGAATCCATATTCTCTTTCTGCAGCTGTCATTCATCCCTTTGCTGAACACATCTCATATTTCCTTCTCTTTTCAATACCAATGTTAACCCTAGTCTTCACAAACACAGCTTCTGTGGGAGCCATGGTGGCTTATGTCACTTACATTGACTTCATGAATAATATGGGTCATTCCAACTTTGAGGTTGTTCCAAAGTGGCTCTTTCAAATCTTCCCTCCTCTTAAATATCTCATGTACACCCCATCGTAAGTATTCTTAATCTCATCTACACTTTTCCTAAGTATTTATAGTCTCATTTCATGCTATTCACATATCCATATGTACAAATTTCTATAATGTATTTCTCATGTACTATGTATTTATAATGTCATTAATTGTCACATGCTATACCCATATATTCATACACATGAAGGAGGAAAAATAGGAGTATTTAGTGAACATAATATATCAAACAAATAAGAGTGTGGTTAATTTTAATTTCTATGAATTATTATGTTGAAATATAAAATTAAAAACATAGTTTTCTTTTCTAATTAACTAGTTCCTTCTTATAGTAAAAGTACTTAGAACATGTTTTTAGTTGTGTTTTCATTCATACTCCTTGCAAAAAATTTTAATCATTAATAAACTTCATTATATTTACATAAAAACAGCATATGATATTGATCAATGGTTTATAACAATTTGTTAATCGTAATATTATAGTTTTTTTATATGATTGTGTTTATATTACTAGCATTTTATCTTATTGAGAACCAATTAGTAACAAAAGAAACTGTTTTCTAATATTTTTGCAGGTTTCATTCTTTGCACCACACCCAGTTTAGAACAAACTACTCCTTATTTATGCCATTTTATGACTACGTCTATGGCACCACAGATAAGGCTTCTGATACATTATATGAATCAGCATTAAAACGAGAAGAAGAAACCCCAGATGTTGTGCACCTTACACATCTCACAACCCCTGAATCCATCTATCATCTCAGGCTTGGGTTTGCTTACTTGGCTTCTAAGCCTTACATATCAAAATGGTACCTCAGTTTGATGTGGCCTATGACAGCATGGTCCATGATCCTCACATGGGTCTATGGCAGAACATTCATTGTTGAGGCAAATCGTTTTGACAAACTCAAGCTTCAAACTTGGGCAATTCCCAAGTACAGTCTGCAAGTATGTTTTCTATATTTTTCATTCGCAAACATTAATTGAATATTGTTAATTAGCTTTGTTATTATTGTTTTTGTTCCCACTGTCACATGACAGCATCTGAAGTTGCCCCATGCAGTATAAAATATATTATAATATTCAAAACTTGGTCACAGTTTTGACTAAGCAAAGCATCATGCATGGGGCAAAGTATATATGTTCTATATAGTACATTAAAAAATGACCTATTTTGGGTTGTTTTCTTGTATTTAACTTTGGCCTGCATTTTGTGGAGAACTAATAACCAAGTTCTGTGTTTGGTTGAGAATTCCTCATGCTTCACACAAAAGCACTTTTTCTACATAAAAGTTTTCTAAGAATATGTTCATAAAACCCTAAAACAATACTTGATGAAATTATAATGTCTACCTATTTTTTCTGTAGTACTTTCTGCAATCACAAAAAGTGACTATCAACAGAATGATAGAAGAAGCAATACTGGATGCAGACAGAAAAGGCATAAAAGTGTTGAGCTTAGGCCTAAGAAATCAAGGAGAGGAGCTTAACATCTATGGAGGGTTATATGTTAGTAGACATCCAAAGTTGAAAGTTAAGATTGTAGATGGAAGCAGTCTTGTGGTTGCTGTTGTTCTTAACAGCATTCCCAAAGGAACAACACAAGTGTTGCTTAGGGGAAAACTCACTAAGGTTGCCTATGCTCTTGCCTTCTCATTGTGTCAAAAAGGTGTTCAGGTCAGGTTTTTTTAGTAAATTTTTGTCTATTCTTTTGAAAAACACAATTCTTTATCTTTCAAATACTTTTTACATCACTGTTCATCTTGATCTAAATCATTTGAAGACGAAAAGCGATTTATTTTAAAATTAGAAAAGTCAAACATTCTCTTAATTATATTTCAGGTTGCTACATTGCATGAGGATGATTATGTGAGGCTCAAAAAGTCATTCAAGTGCTCTGAAACTAATTTGACCTTTTCCAAAAGCAACACACAGACGGTAAAAAATACATGATAAATTTTCTTAGCTTCACTTTTAGAATTTAAAAAAAGAAAGAAAGGAAAAAGAAAGAGGTAACTGATCTTTTTTTTTTTTCTTTCATTGAATAACTAGAGAGAATAAAAAAGTGATAAAAGTAAAGAAAAAGGAAGTAAAATTATGTTAAATTCTATTTAAAAGATTTAAATAATAATAAACAAGGACACTTTTGCAATTTCGTTTATTTTCTATTATCTTCCTATGCTTTTATTCTTTCCTTGTTTGTGTAATTTCAAATCAAAGAAAAAACAAATCTTATATAATGTTTGGTATACAAAATAATTTAATATTTTTAGAAAATTATATGAAAATAATAATTTCTTTCGTTTGGTAGAATTGAAATTAAATTATTTCTCAGAAAATTGTTTTATTGAACTGATAATTTGTAAATGATATATATATATATATATATATATATATATATATATAATATTAAGATTGGGTATACAATATTTGGATTTCAAGGACGAGTTTTATGTACAAAATCATCTTCTAAAAAATGTTTGCTAACTTTTGGTCACCATTTTTGCATAAACGTTGTCAATAATGACAAACAAAGTTCCCTTTTTTTCATCTTCAATCTTTGCTTTTGGATAGACTTGGTTAGTAGGAGATGGACTGAGTGAAGAAGAACAACAAAAAGCACCCAAAGGAACATTATTTATTCCATACACACAATTTCCACCAAAGAAATATCGCAAGGATTGCTTCTACCATTCCACCCCAGCAATGTTAGCTCCTTCGTCTGTCGAAAACATCCATTCTTGTGAGGTTAGTTCTAGAATTCTTGTATGTTCGATTGATTTACTTTATCCTTTTCCATTTCAACCAAAAAGATTGGATTAATTTTGTTGCATCATGTCATCACTTATGATTTAAACACTTATTAAATTACTTTACAAATTACTTATTAATTTTATGTTGAAATCTTAATATACTTTTAGAATTAAACCCTAATTTATTTTCGGTATTTATCTTGGACAAAAAGTGTCTCTCTTGTTTCTCGTTCTGAGTTAAAAGTATCATTTATTTTCTGGTTATTATTTTTTTATCAAAATTGTCTAACGATATACATCAAAGTATTATGATCCTTATATTTTATATTAATTGGGTTGTCCCTTATTTGTTTTTAATTATAAAATTTCATATACATCATATATTTTAATGGTAGGATTGGTTGGCAAGAAGGGTGATGAGTGCATGGCGCATAGCTGGGATAGTCCACTCTCTAGAAGGATGGAGTGATCATGAGTGTGGCCACACAATGAATAACATTGACAAAGTTTGGCATTCAACTCTTCAACATGGATTCCAACCTCTTAAGGTGCAAGTCAAAGAGTTATCTCATTATTAATGAAGACCAAGAGAAATATTAATTTAGCTCTTTGGTGGGTGAAATCCATCCTATATATGGATATCCCCATGTTAAATAAGGTTGTGTTAAGTGTCACTTCAACATGCAAATGGATATCTTCTCTCTCTCTCTCTCTCTCTCTCTCTCTCTCTTCTTCTATCTATCTATATATATATATATATATATATATATATATATATATATATATATATATATATATATATATATATATATATCCATAGAGCTTCAACATTTTAAGATGGTGGTGATATAAGTGTAACTCATAATATATGATAAAATATTATATATTTTGCATACAAAGTGGAACTTTTTTTATTATTTAATAAAGATAAACATATATACATATCTCAACACAAATTCATCAATGATATTTATATAAGAAAAGATAAATTTAATGTCATGAGAAACCATAAACCAAAACTAATGAAAGTCGAACAAATCTAACCCAAGGCACAACAAGTTTATTTCTAACGGTCACTAAGTTGGTCAAAGTTTAAATTTAAGGTTTAAATGTGGTCATAGTATGAATTTAAGTTTTACCGGTTCATATTTCATTCGTATTTAATAAAATAATATTTTTATAATATAATAAATTTATTATTAACAATAAATACTTTGCAAAAGACAAAAACAATTATAAATAACAAAAGTTACTATTTATAATGATAAAAATAAAGTAAGAATAAAATAAATCATTGTACAAAATTACGTTATTCGCATGAAATAAAATAGTTTACAAATATAAGAAAAGAAAAATATAATCTTATAATCTTCGAAGGCATAAACCAAAACCAATGAAAATCAAACCAATCTAATAGTCACTTAAAGTTTAAAGTTTGAATTTAAAGTTTAAAAGTGGTCATAGGTTTACAAATTTATATTTCATTAAGATTTAATAAATAATATTTTTATAATATAATAAATTTATTATTAAAATAATTACTTTACAATAGAACAAAATATAATTACTATAATAATAATAATAATAATAATAATAAAGTAAAAATATAAAAACTTAATTATTATATAAAATTAACGTAACATGTATAAAGAAAAAATTTAAAAATAAATAAAAAGTTATCTTAAAAAATTATTTTTTTATTCGACCCAAAAATTTAATAATTTTTGTTTTATTCTATCAATTTTTTACTATTTTTCTTATTTTTATACCAATTTAATTAAAATTTAATAACTTATAGGTTTAAACAAAACTTAATTTATTGGTAAAATTATCATGTACTTATTATAATATTTTAATATTAGTATATATAGTGTTAAGAAAAAGAAGATTATCTTAACTCTAGTTATCAATGAGTATCCTCTTTTATATAACCTCTTATTAGTATTGATTTAACCATTCTTTTTTTCATCTCTGAATTTTATTAAATTATATTTATATTACTTCAATCCAAGAGTGCTTTTCCTTCAAAAAAAATTTATATAAAATTCATCCATAAATATCGTTATAAAATTAATGATAATTGTTTATAAATATATCCATAAATAATTATTAATCCATATATTTATCAGTAAATATTTTTAAAAACTAGACGAATATATTTATCAATGATTACTAACAATTATATATCTGAAAATAATTATTAAAAACTCTTTTTCATTTATATTTTCATGCATAATTATCAAGTAATAAAATGAGATTGTCGGTAATAATTTTAGCGATGAATTCATTTTGACCAATAGATAATAAATATTTTCTGACAAATTTTGACACTTCTCAACAAAAACTATCCATTAATAAATCAAAATTTTCTTGTAATACATTAATAACGCAATTCTTTTTTTCACAGTTTCACAATTTATTGTAATGACTATTCATTCAAGAGGCTTTATAATATGTTTATCTAATATGATACAATTATAATAATAAATAAATAAAAAATCATGTTTCTTATCTTACATTTTTTTCTTTTATTAGGATGCGAAGAATTTAAAGTAATTAAATTCGGAGTCCTCAAAACTTTGTTAAACTTTTTAGTGCTAAGTTTTTAATACAACCATTTTTTCTTTTTCAAAGCCGATAGATATGATTGATCTTGTGAAAATTGTTTTCCACCTAAAAAAAGTTACGTGAAGTATTCTCCTAACAAATTAGTGTAAACTTTGTGTCAATTTCTCTTTAATGATAATTAAGAAAGTACAGTCCCATTAAATTTGTTAGAATATGTGATGATCTTACCAAAGAAAATGAAAACCCTAATATACCCTAGCTAGGTTTATTCTTTGCCAAAAGAGAAATCTCAAAAGTGGAAAAGGTTTTCGATGTTTTGGAAACCTTCCACCTCAGCTATGTATAGAGGGTAGAAGTTGAGGGTTCCAACTACTTAGCATGAACAATGAATGCAAGAGAAAAAAGAAAAAGAAAAAAGAGTGAAGTGTGTGTGTTGTTGTTGTCCACAAAATAGTTATTCAATGCATCACGGATGCTTAAAGCAAGATGAAAAGTGGACCAAACACCGACGAATATGGCAATGAAAGAAACCACATTGATGAGTTTCAAGTGATGTACGGTTGATCGGGGGAAGTTGTATTTCATTCATATATGTTTAGTTTTTTGTTTTTTTTTAAGGGAAGAATTAAAAAAAATAGTATTTTTATTTATTGTTTTCAATAAAGTTTGTGATGATATTAATTGTTTTCTTCAATTACGTATCTACTTCTTCACTATATTTTAAATAATTTATATATTTATCATAAAAGGAAAATGAAAAAACATTAATACATATTTTTTTATCTATTATAAATAATGTTGTTGATAAAATAAATTTCATTAAATAATAAATAAACAGTTTGGATAATAATTATAGATCTATATGATCGAGTTCTATTTATTTTTTGAAAAAATTGGAAAATCCAAGATATTTCTATACTTGATGATATTATAAAAATTATAATAATAAAAAGTTATTTTTTTAATAATATAATCAAATAATTTAATTTATATATTTTTATTAATATTGTTTTAAATCATAAATAATACTTATTTAATATTAATAAATATACTTTAAATATGATATCATATATAATTGAAAAATTAGGTATATTTATTATATATTATTATTATTATAAAATATTAAATTAAAAGAATATTTTCATTAAATAATAAATACGGTAAATATAAAAATGTTAGCATATACAGTAAAAAAAGTAATTAAAATTTAACTATTTTATAGAAAAAATAAAATTTGTTTATATACTCAATGAAAAGCAAGAATCTTGTTCTCGTCAAAATTCAATATGTTTATTTATTTATTTAGTAATAACATATAAATTTAATTGATTCATTTAATTATGGAAAATGTTAAACATGATTTTAATTATCGTATAAGTGAGTTTTTATCTAGTTTTTCTAAAAAAATTTATTTATAAAACATCCTTTTAAAATTTTAAATCGTTGTGCTTATAGACTAAGAATATTTTAATCTTAATCCATATAAATGGTTTTTTCATTTTTATTTTAAAATATTAAATGTTTTCTCTAATATTTATTTAAGGTTCATAAATAATATTTTTTGTATTATTTAAGAACAAAATAGAGGAATCACATCGTAACCAAGTATCCTATATATTAATAGGTGTCCTATCAATTTCCATTCCCTTAAATACACAACCAGACAAAAATTAGTAGTATTTATTTTTTTAGTTTTTTTATTAAATATAAATAAATAAAATAAAATCTATTTATTTTACATGTCATAAAAATATATTTACTTTTAGAAATAAAAATCATTTGAATAGTTAGATTAAATCACTATTTATTATTCTATATGTAGTGAATCATATAATTATTTCATTAATACATTGAATTAAATTTCCAGTTCTGAATATAGGTATTTACGAACCTGGTTTTATATTATTTAATATTTAGTTATAAAAAAAATATTAAAATGGAACTCTATTTAGAAAACAGTATTTTGGAAAAAAAAGTTACAATATAGTTAAATAGATGAATTAAATATTTACCTATTTAAAAAATTATTAGATGAATTTGATTATATTTTTTTATGGAATGAGAAATTTTTAAGTCAATAGTGTTATTTTCGAGTTTTTTTTTTAATTTGTCTTTAATAATTAAATTCAAAATTAATTCAACATAGCTATTGATTCGACACGTCATTAGTTAGTGGGACACACAGGAGAAGCTATATATATATATATATATATATATATATATATATATATATATATATATATATATATATATATATATATATATATAAATAAGATAATTATAACTTTTAAAATTAAAAATCATTTATTAATTCTTTTATTATGAATTTTTTTTTATAAAGTGATACATGTAAAATCTACTCAACCTTCTAGAAAATCTGAAGAAGGAATCTTGCGGAGTGACATATATTTGAATGCTGTGTATAAAAAATTATTTAAATTGAAAAAGTAAAAATTGAATTTAATATTTTAAATTTTATAATTACTTTTCTATTAATAGTTAAAAAATATTTTTATTAATTTTCCTCATTTAAAATATACTTTTTTATCAAACAATATTATTAAAGTGAATGTTTAATTTAATATTATAAGTCTAATTTTTTTATCTTACATTTTAGTAAGAACACGTGAGTTGTGAATATTGGAAGATCCTAATTATTTCTTTAAGAAATATAAGAGTGGGTAATTATTATTATTTGCGTTACAAAACAAATTAATTAAGATGTAACATCTATCAATTCTATGTTTTTGTTAGACACACCTCACTTATTTCAACTTGGTGTATCAAATTTGATTTGAATTTAATTTAAATTCACCAATATAAGAATATTTTCAGAAGGACAACAAAACTTTTGAGAATTTTAGCATAATATATTAGCAGAAATGCATGCGTGTAAGTGTA